ACATTCATGGACAATCTGCTTCTGCCATCCGGTGTGATGGTGCACACCTCATCGTACTTGGGGCACTTGATCTTACCACCGCTTTGGAACGCAGAGGATTCGACATCGATTGAGGTACCTTCGGGACATTCCTTAAATGTGTTGCTACCCTTGTACTGTACCTCGACTGTACGTCTGCCTTCATCACACGACACCTGCGCACACACACCGGACAGGCTCTCAACACTCTTCCTAGTATTTTGCACCTGCAGTCCCTCACCATCCAGGCACCACGAATCAGGGCCTATTAGCGATCCAGTTAGTAAGCTCTCATCACCAAATGTACAGAAACTGGTGGGTTGACTGTCACCCCCTTCTTGAATTACAGTACTTCCAACGATTATAGGACAAAAATCGATTTCATTATCAGCATCTAAGTCCTCCAATGACTCACATTCTCCCAGAGCATAACGGTTCGATGTGCAGCGAGTGGTAGATGTGTTGCAAAACGTTTCAGGATATCGCGAAATACCATTCTTTATGCATGCTTCATTAATGAAGGAGCACCCTTTCTTGTGGCCCCAGCTCATAGGCTCCTCCATTCCCCAGTTTGCCTTATAGTAACCCAGGTCCTCAAAAAAGGCCATTGTTAATGCTGTATAGTATATTCCGACCCCTTCTTCTTCTCTCGGGGCCATTAACTCATCTTTCGCGTTACGCTGCGTCCAGTTTATGGGGCTGCACAAGCAGACGATCCCTGTGCAGTTTAATAGCAGCAGGAATTACTTCTTTTATCCTGGGGTTGCACAAGCAGACGATCCCTGTGCAGTTTAATAGCAGCAGGAATTACTTCATTTATTAGAGTTTCCTTCTTTTCATCGTCACACATGCGTGTGCCACCTTTAAAATCCATGACCCCTCTCACCACTCTTAGTGCAGAACCTCAATTTGTTCTCCAGATCCTTTGAGAACACTTGAATGCGGATTGGTGCCCAGGTGTCCTCAGCAGCAGTGTACACCTGCACACCACTCTGCCCCGCGCGGGGTACTTCACGCACCACCGCAACAGAGTCAGTTCCCGCCTGCTTCATCACTTCTTCAAACCCGCAGCCCCCTGACGCGGCAGCAACACTGGCGAAGCAACAAAGGAAAACCACGAACAGAAGAGGAATTGCAGAG